CAGAGGACAGGTCGGGAGTACTTCGGGTCAAACTGACAGCCTGATGGTGACTCTCGTACACAGTCTTAATGTTTGATTTTGGGAAGGTCAACCCCTGCCTCTATCCCTCAACATATGGGTGACCTATTTGCTTGTAATAATATAAAGCCTTTTCATTAATTAATAAAAAAAGGGTGATATGTAGGAAGCCGGTTCCTACATTATAATGCTGCCTGAAGACACCAAGGTGTAAATTACTTCACAGGCGCTGGGTAATCTCCATTCCTTTGATCTCTGCCTATCCCGTGGCTCATTTTGGCCTGAGGAGCTGGAGCCATTCATGGGGTAATACGTCCCAGGCGGCTGGTCAGCCTTTTATATAGGGATGGTTTTCTTAGTTCAATGTCTCTGCTCACTCTCTGCTCAGTCTCTGCTCAGTCTAATGCATTAAAGCTTGTCTGCAGAAGGATCCGAGTGTCCTGCGTGTGTTTCTTGCTGGCGAGGAATACAGAGCTGGCGCGGGACACCCCATAAGAGGGCAGGCCTCTCACAAACATCAAAGGAACACAGCACAACAAGATACAATAATACTAGGAACAAAACCTCCTAAGAAGGCTGGGCAAGGCAACCCAGTAGGAGGAAAAGGGTCCCAAAAGCAGGTAATAGAGTCAGAGACATCCCCACTCCCACTGCTAGGAGCTCTCCCATGAGCCCTGCTTAGTTGATTCCCTCTCCTAATGTTGTCCACCTCTCTGGCTCCCATAATTCCTTCTCCTCTTCTGCAGAGTTCCCCAAGCTCCTAAGGGAGGGACCCAACTTGGGCTCTCTCTCTACTTAATGTTTGGCTGTGGGTCTCTGCAGCCACTCCCATCAGCTGTGGAGGCAGCTGAGGCAGCTTCTGATAAGAACCGGACTAGACACCAATCTCTAAGTCTAGCAAAATACCATTAGAATTGATTCTTTTTTCTTTCTTTCTTTCTTTTTTTTTTTTTTTTTTTTTTTTTTTTTTTTTTTTTTTTTTTTGGCCAGTCCTGTTTGGTTCTACCCTTGGTCTGGTCTCTAGGCTATGCAGCCTTCTGGCCATTGGACAGTGCTTGGCATGGGCTCCTTCTCGTGGTGTGGTCCTCAAATTAGACCAGTCATTGGTTGGTTACTCCCACTAGATCTGTTGTGAATTCTGTTTAGATCTGTACCCATTTTTTAAATTGGATTGTTTGGTTGGTTGAGATCTAGTTTCTTGAGTTCTTTATATATTTTAGATATTAGCCCTCTGTTGGATGTGGAGTTGGTAAAAATCTTTTCCCATTCTGTAGCCAGTGCTTTGTCAGATTGACAGTGTCCTTTACCTGACAGAAGCTTTTCAGTTTCATCAGTCCCATTAATTGTCGATCTTAGTGCCTGTGCTATTGGTGTTCTTTCTGTCTAGGAAGTGGTCTCCTGTGCCAATGCATTTAAGGCTGCTCCCCACTTTCTCTTCTATCAGGTTCACAGTATCTGGTTTTATGTTAAGGTCTTTGATCTATTTGGAGTTGAGTTTCTATTCCTGTGATGAGACACTATGACCACAACTCTTTCTTTTGTTTTGTTTGTTTCTTCGAGACAGGGTTTCTCTGTGTCGCTTTGGAACCTATCCTGGAACTAGCTCTGGAGACCAGGCTGGCCATGAACTCACAGAGATCCGCCTGCCTCTGCCTCCCAAGTACTGGGATTAAAGGCGAGTGACACCAACGCCCAGCGACCACAACTCTTTTTTTTTTTTTAATAATGTATTTATTCTTTTAAATTTCATTTTACATTCCAACCACAGTTCTCTCTTCCACCCCTCCTCCTGCCCCATTCGATTACCTTCCAGCCCACCACCAGTCCATTCCTTTTCATGGGTAAGGTCACCTATGAGGAGCCAACCAAGTCTGGCACAATGGGGCAGGGTCAAGCCCCTCTCCCATGCATTAAGGCTGATCAGACCACAACTCTTATAAGTAAACATTTAATTGGGGTGGCTCACTTACAGTTTAGAGGTTCAGTTCATTATCATTGTGTCAGGGAGCATGGCAGCATGCAGGCAGAAATGGTGCTGGAGAAGTAGCTGAGAGTCTTATATCTTGCTGGCAACAGGAAAAAGTCTGACATACTAGGCAGTATCTAAAGAAAACCTTCCTCAAACAAGGCCATACCTACTCCAACAAAGTCACACTTTCTAATAGTGCCACTCCTTATGAGACTATGGGGGCCAATTACATTCAAACTACCACATTCTACAAGCTGACATCAGTTCTATCAGCACCAATTGTTGATGCTTTTTTTTTTTTTATTCTATTGTGCATTTCTGGCTTCTTTATAAAAAATCAGGTGTCTATAGGTGTATGAATTTACTTATGGATCTTTGATTCAATTCCATTGATCAATGTGTCTTTATGACAATAATATGTAGTTTTTATTACTACAGCTCTATAGTACAGCTTGAAATCAGGGATGGTGATATCTTTGTAAATTCTATTATTGTTCAGGATTGGTTCAGTTATTCTGTATTTTTTGTTTTTTCATATGAAGTTGAGTATTCTTTTTAGGTCTGTAAAGAGTTGTGTTGGAATTTTGATGGGGATTGTGTTGAATCTGTAGCTTGCTTTTGGTAGGAAGGCCATTTTTACTATGTTAATCCTATCAATCTGTGAGCATGGGTCCCCTCCCGAGTTGGAGGTTGTGACACAGCAAGGAGTAGGGGTTGGGGGTTAAGGATAGGGTGCAGAGTACAGAGAGAGTCCAGGGGTGGTCCATGGACAGGTGGCCTACTTGGATTTCCGGTGGCTGCAGTGACCTATTGCTATACAGGGGGTCTCTCTCCAAGATCAATAATAAAGAACTTTTAAAGGGCTGAATAACTATCTATTACTGTGTATACAAGATAAAATATTTAAACACATGCCTGATATTGAATAAACAGGCTATTTCTATCTTTTATGCAGTTATAAAAACTCATGTTATTATATTTGTGTGTAAATGATACACATGATATCTATCAGTCATCCATCTATCTAACTATCCATTTGTATATATCTGTTTGTTTGAAATGGGTTATTTATGTAGCCATTATGTAGCCAGGCTGACCTCAAAATTTAATCCCGTTGCTTTGGCTTCCTGAATGCTGGGAGTAAAGGTGTGTGCCACCAGATTCCCAAGCTTATTGCTGCATTCTTATTCAATGAGTTTTACATGGTATAATTTTAGAGAGGGAACAGTTGGTGTTAGGGATTAACCCAGAGCCTTAGGCAAGGTAGGCAAATGCTATATCACTAAGTTTAATCTCTAGCCCAAGAAGTATGCTTTTCTTTTTCTTTTGGCTTATGTTTCTGTGTGTGGTGTGCATACTCTGTGGAAGCTTGAGGCTAACAACAGTGTCTTCTTCAATCATTCTGTACCTTATAAATTGAGACAGTGTCTCTCACTGAATCTGGAACTTACATTTCTGCTGGTCTAGCTAGTCAGCTTGTTGTGGGTTCTTTGTCTCCTCCTCCCACACTGGAATTACAGTCTGCTGTCACACCTGCCTGACTTTATATGAGGTCCTGGGGATTGAGCTCTGGACCTCACATTTGTGCATTAAGCATTGTACCTGCAAAGCTATCTTCCCAGCCTAGATATATGTTTTTAAAAATTATTTAAAGTTTACCATTTGGGCCAGTAGTATTAAGTTTTTTCATCTCACAACTCTAATAGGCTGCACATAATAATATTTTACTGTCATTTTAATAGGCTCTTTAACGTAATAGCTTCACTGATACTAATATATACCAAAAAGTTCGCTCTTCAAGTATGACTTTTAATGCAGTCACAAAACTATACATCAATCACTACTGTTTACACAACACTGTTACCATCCTAAAAAGAAACCCATCTCCATTAGAAGTCAAAACCCCTTCCCACCTGATCCTGGCCAGCATTAAGCTATTTTCTACTTTCATACATTTTTCTATTCCTGGTATTCCATATTAAAAAAATCAACCACAGTACAGTATTCTACTGAATGCACCTGTGTTAACATGAAATAAAAATCTCCAATCAACAAGCTAACCTCCCAGCTAGAAAGGAAAGAGCAAGCTAAATGAGAAGGAAAAAACACTATAAGCATTCTGATGGAAATAAATAGAGTGGAAAAATAGAGAAAATTGGCAAGCCCAAGTCAGTTCTTAGAACAATCAATAACACAGACTCAACTTTAGTTAAGATAGCCAATACAACAAAAGCTTCAAAAATTATTAATACATAAGGAAATACATCAGTCATAGAAATATGAAGTATTAGAGAATGACACTCTAAAAAACTGTTTTCCAGTAAATTAGATTTCTCAGATAAATGGTTGGAACTAAAGGAGACTGAAGAAGACACTCCAAACATGGCTATGTTCCTAGACTAATTTCCTCTAGTGAACCACATACATTGTCTGGCTTATAGTGAGCCCTAGTTTGTCTCCACATTCCAAAGTATAGCTACTGAAGGGAAAAAGAACTATAGACAATTCTGCAATGAGTATAAAAAAAAATACCTGGAGCTCACTGGCCAGCTAGCCCAGCAAAATTATAGAGCTCTAGACTCAGTGTGAGATCCCACCTCAAAAAATAAAGTGGAGAGCAGTTGAGAAAGACACCAGGTGATATCAACTGTCGCCTTCACATCTCTCTCTCTCTCTCTCTCTCTCTCTCTCTCTCTCTCTCTTCTCCCCCCTCTGTCTCTCTCCCTCACATACACAACACACAAACACATTTATACACATATACAAAGTAGATTAAATTTCAATTCTAAAATAATTTTACATAAACTAGATAAAGTTACAAAACACCCAGAAACAGATGCAACCAACATTACAAATAAACACTAAATAAAGAGATTTTATAATTGGGTGTGGTAGTGTGCACCTTGAATCATAGCACTCAGGTGACAGAGGTAGGCTGATCACAATGAGTTTGGCCCAGTCCGGTCTACTACATAGCACATTTCAAGAGTTAGAGCTACATAACAAGACCTCAGGTCAAAACAAACAAATAAATAACAACAATAAAAAGAAAAATAAAAAAAGAAAGGAAAGAAAACTATTTTATGCATACCAAAAAGTATGGCTAAGATTTATTAATAAATAGGTTTAAAACCCAGTTATAAAAAAAATAGTGTTTAATTATTAATAAGCCTTGGAATTTCCCAAGGCATTTGAAGCATCTGACTTGAAATGAAAACTCATCAAGCAGAAGATAGATTCAGTTTTCCCATTACACTTAAAACACAAAAATCCTAGTACCTCCTCAGGCCTTCCTAGAGCTGGGGTTCCCGTAAGAAGAATGGCTCGCCTGGCTCTCTGTACCAGGGGCAGGAGAAGCTTGCTGCGGGCAGCAGTTCTGGACTTCATGTAGTGCGATTCATCCACTATCACGACTTGGAAGTTCTGGCTATTCAGCGCATTCATCAAAGTCTCTGCATCTGTGGTTATTAGACCATATCCTAGAACTGTCACTCTGCTGGTTGATATTCTCCTAGAAAAGAAAATCCACCTGCTTAAAAAAATATCTGTCTTGGCAATGAATCTACCACAGACAAAACAACACTCTTAGTAAGAGAGAGAGAGAGAGAGAGAGAGAGAGAGAGAGAGAGAGAGAGAGAGAGAGAGAGAGAGAGAGAGAGAGAGAGGGGGGAGGGGGGGGGGGAGGAGGGAGGGAGGGAGGGAGGGAGGGGAGAAATAAGACATGGTCCTACTGCTAAACCTCAACTACTATTCACATTATTTAGATTTTTTACATTTCTCCAATATGTTAAGCCAAGACTTAGAATTCTGTTCAAATTGTAAGGTTTTTTTTTTTTTAGAAGATTTTGATAACTAGAAAGCCACACTGTACTAGGGTAAAAATGTTACTTTATGACAATGATTTCTTCCATACATTCATTTTTCAACCTTGGTGCTGTTGGTATTTTGTCAGAACAACACCTAACAGAGATGTCCACTGCACATTCCCAGTCTTTGAAATCTCATCTAACATCGCTTTCAGGCACTGTGGCGCTGAGGTGATGGACCAAGTGAAAAAGACCCTCCCTTTATACATAGGGCCACCAAGCTAAAATAAAGTGACTCTCTGAGCTTTGGTTTCTACAATACACACCTCTGCAAATATCCATAATTACTATTATACATGTATTCCTATTATATTCCTATTACTATTATACATGTGAGGAAAGGAAATGTGTTTTATTCATCTTTATACACATAGTATTTGCTCCTATTATAGAATGAAGTAACGAGACAAGCTCATGAATACTAAAAGGTACCAACTTTTCCTTTTCTATTATCACTTAACAATACAGGGCTTCACCTGCCACTTTCTTATTCTGTGCATCTATGCATGTATACTTGTGTGGGTGGGAAGGAATGTGCTTGTTTATATACATATGGAAGCCAGAGGTTGATATGAAGTATCCTCCTCCATCACTGTCCAGTTATCCAATATCCAAATTATCTTGCTGAACTCAGAGCTCTCCAATTTGGCTAGTCTAGCTAGCCAGCTTGCCCTGGAGCCCCTTGTCTTTTCTCTACAACTCAAGGACTGGGATTATTGGCAGGCTAACATGCTAGCCCCGCTTTTATATCAGATTCCTTGTCTCCATCTCTCTATGGTAGGGAATGAAGGGAGGCCATCATGCCCACCCACCATTTGTACTGGAGCTGGGAATTAGAAGTGCTTTACCCTCAAAGCCATCCCCTACTCCAAGCCCCATTTTCTGTCCTCCAAGGAAGAAGTGAGAACTCCTAACTTGTGAGCAGCATTTGAAGGCCTGGATACATCTAATTAACACAGAGAACTATGGTTTTCTCCATGTGCTCAGATAGCAGAAGAACCTGCAGAAGAAAAGTATGGGCTTAGTATTACCAGCTAACTAAGGTACACTGTGAGGAAAATCCATCAGGCAATAGTGTTGCAGGTAACTGCAGCCATCTTGGTGGCTTCTATTCTGGGTGATAGTTCAGTAACAAACAGCACTAGGAGTAATCTCTACATGCAGTAAACACACGCTGGCACAGGTTGGTACATATCCAAAACTGCTTCTTTACGGATATAGAAGATACCATGTAACTTTTATACCTTTGGTTAACACCTTCCAAAAATGTACACTCCTGGAATTGTGGTCCTATCAAACACACCCAAATATTACATAAACAAAAGCCACTACCACTGTTTAATCACAAGAGTGTGTGCCTCTGAAATAATAATGAACGCCAAAAAAAAAAAAAAAAAAAAAAAAAAAAAAAAAAAATGACAAAGGATAGATTTTTTTTTTTTTTGGTTTTTTCGAAACAGGGTTTCTCTGTGTAGCTTTGGAGCCTATCCTGGCACTCACTCTGGAGACCAGGCTGGCCTCAAACACATAGAAATCTGTCTGCCTCTGCCTCCCGAATGCTGGGATTAAAGGCGTGCACCACCAACACCTGGCTGACAAAGGATAGATTTTAAGAAAATGTCAATATAGACATTTAAATTAAGTTAAGAAAGCCTTAAAAATTCAACATTCTCTAAATTTGTTTCTTTTCAATTTTATGCAGTTTTTCTGGAGAAGTAACCAATTAATAAGAATTGTCTTCATTTTATTATAGTAATGCAAATAGGGCTAAATTTTCTTGTATTCATATATATAAATGCTAATGAATTAGGGTTCCAAGGTTAAAAGAGGTAAAACATCCTATATCTATGTTTTCTGCTTCCTCCTTCTCCATGCAAGCCTAAATTATCCCCATAAACACTATTTATATTCTTAGTGTTAGCTAATACAGTTCAGAGCAATATTCCCAAGAATAATCTAAGAACTAACAGATACTTACTTCTGGTAGAGGTGTTATATTTAAAGCTCAGAAAGTGCTAATTCTGGGCCACCCATCTCCTTCCTTTTTTCTTCCCAACACAGGGTTTCTCTGTGTAGTCCTGGCTATGCTGGAACTTACTCCGTAGACCAGGCTGGCCTTGAACCCACAGATCTGCCTGCCCCTGCTTTCAGAGTGCTGGGATTAAAGGCATGAACCACCCACCCAGCATTCTGAGCCTTTGAAAACAAGATAACTTGCAACTATAGATATTCAATACAATAACTTATATTCAAATATGTTGACTTAGTCCAGTGGCTAAAAAGTACAATGGGAAACAAATGAAAAACTAGAAAAAGTATGATATATTTTTAGATCAAGGATTATAATTACAACTGAGCAAATGTTTTCTTTTCTTTTTTCTCTCTTTTTTTTTGTTTTTGTTTTTTTGTTTTTGTTTTTCAAGGCAGGGTTTCTCTGTGTAGCTTTGGAGCCTATCCTGGCACTCGCTCTGGAGACCAGGCTGGCCTCAAACTCATAGAAATCTGTCTGCCTCTGCCTCCCGAGTGCTGGGATTAAAGGCATGCGCCACCAACGCTCGGTGAGCAAATGTTTTCAAGATGTAAAATATCAAGATTATAAATTATAATAAATTATAAAATCAAACCTGTTAAAACTGAATCATACATAAAACTGACATATTCTCAACCTGGAAAACAAACCATGTCAAGACTGTTGATAAAGTTCACACAACATCAGGCCAGTCTTGAAAAATTGATGGAATTTATTTTTGAACCTGAAACTAATTAGTTTTAAGTATATAGAAATAATTCCACACATCTATAAAAGCATACATATTTTACATTCACTTTAACAGTATACCATAGGTATTAAGTTTTAGGTAAATAACTAATATTTTAAAATGTAAAACAAAGCTCCCCACTTCACCTTCTTTTGATGATAACAGGCGATATTCCATTCAAAATATGAATACAATGTACTAGGCTCTGAATTTGATCATTAGTACCAAAAAAATCAAAAGCAAACCAAAATACTGTGTGGACTAAATGCAAAGAAAACATGTTTTGGTTTTACTTTTTTAAAAAAATTTTTTGTCTTTCTTTTTTTCTTAAGCAGGTCTCTCTTTGTGGTACTGGCTGTCCTGGAACTTGCTCTGTAGACCAGGCTGTCTTGGAACTCAGATATCTGTCTGCCTCTGCCTTCTGAATGCTGGGATCAAAAGGTCTTGCCACCACCACATCTGGCTACACTTTTTCTTTAAGACAACTAAGTTCTTCTTACCCAAAGTCAGTTTTGTTCATGATAATATTGATATCCTCAGGCTCTAGCTCTGGAATCCACTTTTCTAGTTCTTCTGTCCAAGGGTACCTCAGAGATGAAGGGACGACTATCAGCATAGGCCATTCCTCTTTGTAGAAGTATGCAACTGCAATTGCCTGGATTGTCTTCCCTAGCCCCATCTAAATACAAATTTAAAAAGTACATGTTACAAATAAAGCCTGTATCCTGAAAGAAATTATCAAATATTAAAGTGTTACATTGAGAATTTTATTATATCAATTGGAATTATAGTTAATAAAAAGATTACTAGGAACTTGAAGAGTCATTAAAGAAATTATATTGTTTTAAAAATCATTTGTGATTATAATTAAAGACATATGATCCCAAGATATAAATATTATATTGATTTCATTTGTAGTTTTTCCTTTTTGAGAATACAACAATAAATGTGTTTATTACCTACCTACGAGAAGGGCATATTACTTGAAGTTAAAATAACTATGAGTCAAACATGTTTTCCAAAGACAAAGTGAGATAGAGAAGTTGAGTTATTTAAACCACAACCAACTGATACAAAATTAGGATAAGGTTCCAGGTCTGTGGTGTCTTTTTCCTTTTGGCCATTTCTATGCTATTCCCACTAGTCCTTTCTAAGCTGTTTCCATGGAAAAAGAAGCTCCTAAATGAACTGTTAAAAGGTTTTCTCCACAACAGTCAGAAACTAAAGACAATTCAAATATGCTTCACCTGGTGCATTCTAGTCAAATGTTCACTGATGAAAGGGAATAAATTGTGCTGGGGTAGGTGTGGCACAGCACAGAGCATGAGCAAGTGGCAGGCACAGGGCTCAACCTCTAGCAACCCATGCCCTGACTTTTAAAAGGCTTTCTATAATACTGCTTACATATCACTGTGAAAAAGGCAAATCAATAAGGATAGCAGCAGGTCAAGGATAGCTAGAGGAGGGAAAGACAGCAGTGGAATGGCACCTTTCAGGGTAGAGCTGTTCCACACCTTGTTTTCAGTGCAGTGATGTCACAGATTGTCTAGTAAACACAAGTCAAATGGACTGGAGAGATGGCTCAGTGTGTAAAATTACTTGCTCTTTCAGCAGAACTGAGATCCCAGCACCCATGCAAAAAATCCAGGCAGGCATGCCTGCAAGTGCCTGTAGTCCCAGTACTGAGGGAGCAGAGATAGATGGATCCTGGGAGCTTGCTGGCCAGTGAACTTAATCAAAACAGTGTCAAGATTCGGGTTCAATGAGAGACCCGTCTCAAAGACTGAGAGTGACAAAGCAGGATACTAGACATCTTCCTTTGGCTTCCATGTACACACACAAGTGCACACACACACAAGTGCACACACACACACAAGTGCACACACACACACACACACACACACACAAGTGCGCGCGCGCGCACACACACACACACACACACACACACTATACATACTATGTTGAGGAAAAACTGGTCAGTGAGGAACCAAAACAGCACTTGGGGGACTTTTTTGTGCTAGCAGGTTGGACAGAGGCAGTGCTCTGAGAAGTCTGGCCCATAACTGCAGTGGCCACTTGCTGACGGTCTCTGTGTTTCTTGGGCACAGAGGGGGAAATTTCATTGCATTCAGGTATGTTTTTTGATGCAGGCTTGGTATGGGCAGTTTCTGCAATGCATCTGTTTTCTTAAGATAGTTATATGTTTATTCTCTCAACATAAGGGATTTGTCTGGGGCTTGCAGGAATATGGAAGCAGAATCAGCATTCCTAAATATGCTGGAAGTAAAATTTTAATTAGTCTTATTTCTATATAATCCTAGAGCCCTCAGACAGGAATTGCTATTTAAGATCTCATACAGCCAGACAGTATTCTAACCACATTAGGTGTATATTAAAGGTAATAAATCTGCAACATATATTTGTTTCTCCTTCAAACTATTTTACGTTCATATATAATAATTAAAAATTAAAAAACGCATACAAAGCAAAAGCAAAAGCAGGTTAATTCACCTAATTTACCCACCTGGGTAAATTCCACCACATTGGTCCTTACATTTACAAAGAAGAAATGACTATGGTAAACACTTGTGAAGAAAAAAGACTATTAGACATAGGCTTTTCATGACAGACTATTCAAAAGGAAAAAAAAAAAAAGACAGAAACCTGTAAGAGTAAGTTTCAAATGCTGAGATTAAAAAAAAGAGAAAGAAAAAGGCATTTTGGGAATTTTAGCAAATCTATTATAGAAACCTTGTTTACATGTTTTTCTTTTTTAACATATAAATGATTTTATTTTTTATTTTATGTACATTGATGTTTGCCTGCAAGTGTGAGGGTGTGAGATCACTGGAGTTACAGATAGTTATGAGCTACCATGTGGATAATGGGAATTGAACCTAGGTCCTCTGGAAGAGCAGGCAGTGTTCTTAATAACTGAGCCGTCTTTCCAGCCCCCTCTATATTTTCCCTTTAATTACTGTTATTAAGAACAAGAATCTTGCCAGGCAGTGGTGGCCCACGCCTTTAGTCCCAGCACTCGGGAGGCAGAGGCAGGCGGATCTCTGTGAGTTGGAGACCAGCCTGGTCTACAAGAGCTAGTTCAAGGACAGCCTCCAAAGCCATAGAGAAACCCTGTCTCGAAAAACCAAAAACACCAAAAAATAAAAATAAATAAATAAATAAAAACCCAAGAATCTTGGTTAGCTCACTCAGGATAATTGTTTCCAGCTCCATTTATTTACCTGTGAATTTTATAACTTCATTTTTCTTAACAGACAAATAACATTCCATTTGTATAACCCAAATACAGAAAGACAAACACTATATGTTTTCTCTTATATTTGGTGACAATTTTGGATCTTTAGACATGTATGTTTTATTTGGAAAAAGAAGGCAAGATTCTAATAAAGGGAGGGGCTCTCAAGGGAGAGGAGATAGAATGCAGTGATATAAAGGGGAAAAGAGCACTCTGAGCTACAACAATGACTTGCCTGGCAAGCTATGGCCATCAGTACAATAATGGCACAAATGTTACAGAAGTAACCAAACACAAGATAGAACTTATATCTGGAACTATTATGGGATCCAAGAATCTGTTGTTAGATAGGCCATAGATCCCGAGAGAGAACCTGGCACTACTATTATTCAAAATGGACATAGTATAAAACCAACTCCTAAAGATTTATCATGATACTCATAGATTGGTACATCTGTTAACCCTTGATCAGAGAAGCTTCTTTAAAAAACAACAACAACAACAACAACAACAACAACAACAACAACAACAACAACAACAACAAACTAGTACCCAGTGTTCAAAGAGGAGCTTCTTTTTGTGTTAAATAGCAATTAACAAAGAGATCCAAAATGGTCAATGGACAGAGAATAAGAGACTTGGGAGCACTTGGCACTAAATGGGACATCTATATCATACCCTTCCCCCAAAAGCTCAGGGATCCTCAAGGAGGAGGAGAGGTGGAAAACTCTAAGAGCCAGAGGTGGTGGTTGATCACAATAAAATTTTTGAACACAATACCGCAATTGCATTTATAAGTATTCATAAGACCTGTGCCAACTCAAGTCAGATTCCAGCATGGGAGAGCAGGTGAGCTCACCCATAGCTGAGAAAGGTCTGGCAATTGACAGCTGATGCTCTAGGGCAGGCCTCACACCCAAAATTATTTGGGCAACACAATTTGGCTCAATAGGCTTAAAAAAGAAAAAAGGCTATTAGTTGGGTGGGTGGGGATAGATATAATATGACTTGGGGGAGGGGGACTGAATATAATCAAAGGATACTGAATGAAATTCTCAAAGAATTAATAAAATATTATATATAAAAAACATTCAGTGGGTAGAGCTTGTCTAGATGAAGCGCTGGGTTCAATTCTCACTGCTGAAAAAAATGGGCATGGTAAAACAACCCTGTAATATACATTTATGAGGTAAAGGCTGGAAAAGCAGGAGTTCACGGTCATCTAAGATACATAGAAAGTTCAAATTGAGCCCAACCTATAGATGACCCTGCCTCAAAAAACAAAACAAAACAAACAACCCACCCAAATAAAAAAGAACAAGAAAACCAATGGGAATGATTCAATTAAAGTTACAATTATGGCAACCAATCTTTTATATTAATGAGAAAATTAGTGTGATCTGTTTAAGAAAATGTTCTTTTATAAGAAAAAGATTACAGTGAATAGAATTTGGGAAGTAATGTTTCTGACCTAGGACATTGCCATTGCCACCGGTATTACTTGACTGCCCAAGTGAATAGATGCTTTAAGGAAAGACAGCAACCTTACATTCCCCGGAGTTGATAAAGTAGACAAGCAAAGTGCTTGCCGTTCTAAACAGATGGCACAAAAGCTTTAATACTATTCAGCTTCAGGCCACATAATAGAACTCAAGTGTGACTACTTGCAATACTGAGGGAAGACTAAGCTGAAGATCAAGATGTTTGACCTAATCTTCTAAGGATAAAATTGAGGTAGCAGGCATACTGGTGCAGGCCGAAGCAGGAAGAGTCTGGGTTTTATAATATCCTGGTCTAACTTGCAATTTCAAAGTCAGCCTGGATCACAAGCCAGTCCCATCTCTCTAGGACAGAGCAAATTTGTTCTAGAAAAAAAAAAACATTTGCTAATAGGAAGATGAATGTATGTGATTATGTTTTGCTGTTGTTGTTAGATAAAAAATCTTAAATCACGGACTTAGAAATCAGAGTAGTGAGGAGAATTTTAAACAGCATAATACTCAAAGCAATAACACACATAATTTTGGTATATGAAAAGAACTACACTCAATAGGTAGCTCAACCATTCCCCATGGAGGAATACTCTCTTATCCTAGATACACAGGGGAGAGCCTAGGCCCTGCCCCAAATGACCTGACAGGTTTTTTGATGATCCCTCGTGGAAGGCCTCGCCCTCCCTGGGGAGTGAATGGAGGTTGGGATGGGGAGATTGGTGAGGAGCATGGGAGGATGAGAGGGAGAGGGAACTTGGATTGATAATAAATATTATTAGACAATCAAGTAAAATAAGATTGTTTCTAATTTAAATAAAATCTGTAAAAAAAAAAATGTAGCTCAAAGCCTTTGGCTTTAACCAAATTTCAATTTGTTAAAGTGGAATCCTCCAGTGTTTCTTCACTTAAGACTAAATCCCTATTAAGAAC